AGAAGGAGACACAAACTTCAAGACAACACTACTCATAAATGCGCCCAGGCTAAAAACAACGCTGCAGCACATGCCTCTGACAAAATGGGTTTTGCCCAAAAGCTGACGCCCAAATACATCTGTTAGTCCTTAAGAGGCCACGGGGACTCCTCGTTGTTTTTGCAGATACAGATTCACAGGGACACCCCTCTGAGAGAAGGGTAAAAAGGCATTTGCCTGCTTTCCTGGGGGAAGCATAACTCCCGTGTTCCCAGAGAAGGAGCTGAAAAAAGTCTTTAGGCCTAAGTGATTACTAAATTGTTGCATCCCCCAGCAACAATCTGAGTTTGCTAAAAGGCAGCTTACGGGCAAACGGTGCCTAATCGGTTGTGTACAAACCATTTGGTAATTGCAAAGGTAGAGCCAAGTGACCGGATGAGGCAGATTTTAAAAAGTCATCTGCTGTGTATTAAACTTGCTAAGTCACCAAAGAACTTCATTAACTAGAGAAAATTGGTGGCTACTCAAAGTGGCCGTGCTCAGCAGGCTGTGGCCACAACAGCCCTCTGCCTTATTTGCTTTGCTTTCCGAAACCTGAGACTCTGAAATCTTCATCTCTTGTCTCTCCTCCATCCCCACCCGCAGCTGAACTGGGAAAAGCTCCTGACTGTCCGGAAGTGTGGTCCTCCAAACTCCTGGAGTGTTTCTTACAACTGTTGCACTGTCAGAACACAGAGTAAGGCGTTTGGAGTCCGTCAGGACGCCAGCACCCGCACCCTGTGTGGCATTTTCGTGGTATTATGACGGATGTGTCTGCATCCATAGGTTCAGCCTCACCCTTGGCTTCAGAATCTTGTAAGAAAGGTGGGGGGGAGGGGGGGAGCTGGGAATGCCTCTCCAAGTATCCTTGACCAAAAAAACTGAACTTCCTAAATCTCCCCCAGCAAAAGGGCTCTCTCGGAACTAAGTGCAGCAGGGCCAGCCTGGCCTCACTGGCATGGCCATCCCCGCAGCGGAGGATTTCCTGCAATCCGTCTTTTCAAGCGCCCATAATTGCATGTGCAATTAACCCGAAGGTCAGGAGAAAAATCTTTCAAAATACCTACCTGGGCCCTGGCCGCATTCTTCCAGGGTCTCGCCTTGGAGTCGGCATTCAACCCGCTCTGCAAGCAGAGCCCCCCCCCCACCGCC